TTGCTACAGTTAAAGGTTAAGTTAATGACAGTTCAGTTAAAGCTAAACATATTGCACTTTCTAAATGGAGATATGATGCAAAGGAAAATCAATATTGAAAACTATCTCAGCAAAATTTAGGAGTTAAGGAGGTAGAAAGATAGAAGAAAAACAAGCCTTCTGGAAGGGTTAAAGGGAAAATAACAGGCCTTATTTGGGGAGAGGCTATTTTTAGGGAATGGTTAAGTGAGAAATTAAAGGATACTGAAGGTCTCATTCCATTAGAGACGTATAGTGCTTGTGCTGCTATATTGTGTTGTGTTTGAGAAAATAGTACTTTTTTGTTGTTTTATTTTTGATGGTGGGGATTAACCTCACTCAGGGCCTTGCATATTCTCTACCACTAGACTACTCCCTCAGCCCCTAGACTGTTCATAACATGTTAAAGCAAAGCAAATTAAATGTGAAACTGCAGTAAGGTTTGAGGGAGAGATAAAATATTCTTTTGTTAAATTAACTGGAGGAGGAAATGAATAGTTAATAGGAAAAAAAGGAAATGAATAGTTAATAGGAAAAAAAGGAAACAAACAATAAATAAAAACAAGCTAATACAGATGAAAGAAAAACATGAAGTCTGTCAGCTATTATAAATATAAACAGTTTGATGATTGATTGATTGATTGCAGTACTGGAGATTGAATCTGGAGCCTCTCTAACACTAAGCTACATCCCCAGCCTTTTTTACTTTTTATTTTGAGATAGTCTCGCTAAGTTGTGCAGGCTGGCCTCAAACTTGGGATCCTCCTTCCTCTTCCTCCTCGGCAGTTGGGATTGTAGGTGTGTGGCCACTGTGCCTGGCTGGTTGAATACATTTAATAAAAGACAAACTGGTTGTATTAAACACTATTCTACTGTATTTTTTGTAAGAACCATACTAAACAGTTTGCAAGTAAAGGTATGTTTAGGGTCACAGAGAAATGCAAACAGAAAGCAAGGGTAGAATATTAATTAATGAGACTGAATTAAGGAGTAGAAGCACTAAACAAGATAAAGGAGGACATTTTATAATATGCACAATTTATAAAAGTATATCAGGTATATATATATATGAGCTCTCCGAAAATTTTTAGAATGCAAGTAGTTCTTAATTGGAATAAATTTGGGGAGATTTTGATACATCTTTTAAATTTTTAACTGTTCTATCAGTTAAAAAGTATCTGAAATAATGAATTCTAACTGTGTAAAATGAATAGATTTATTTTTTATAGAAATATACATCTTTTGACATTAGTTGATAAACAGTGCCCAGGTTCTGGTTTTTAAATATCACTCTCTAATAAAAGAAACATGGAGAAATGATTGATTCTAGGGATGTACTGGGGAAAACACAAAATGAATGTTGCCAGAAACCAGATCATTACTCCAAAAAATGAATAAGTAAGTGAAAGGGTGCCTGCTTCAGCAGCTAAAATTGGAACAGTTCAGAGATTGTATTGTGCAAATTTGTATTATCACAATTAGTAAAGTTTTCCATATTTTTCTAAATTTTCCATTATGTGTGTTACACAGTGAAAACCAGGATAGAATTACATCAAAAGAAAACAGAAATAGCTGAAGGAGCTCGTAAAGGCCAAAATTTTAATAAAAACTAGAACCTTAAGGAAAAAATAACTATCCCTGAGTCATACTGATGTAAATAATTATGTATTTATTAAACCATCTTAGTAGTCTTGAAATAAACACCGCCTTCAATACCATGCCAGATTTGCTAATAAGATTTTACAAAGTGCATAAAATGAACTGGAAGATAACTGTTCCTTACAGAAGAGTTTCAAGTAATAATATCTACCACCTTTTCCACTATTGTTACCACTAATCTTCACACTTTGTATCTTCTTTCACAAATTTTAAAATCTTGGCAGAGTGGAAATTGCCCAGCTGTACCAAATATTGCTGTACTCATCATGATTGATAAGAGTTTTCTAATATTCAGCTTCTGGTATTGCCATTTAGTAGCTATGTGACCATGAGGAAGTTATTCTCACTGTGCCTCAGTCTCCTCATTTATACATTTGTAAAAAAGTATACTCATAAGGTTATTGTGAAAATTAAAGGAATTAATAGATAAAAAGCAGTTAGAATAGTACCTAACATGATTTTCAATATTTGCTAACTGCTAATACAAATATATTACTGTCACCATTCTTTAATAGTTTCTTCTTTTGTAATTTTCACATTTTATTTTCATTTTGGTACTTTTGACTTTTATAGTGTAGGAATATGAAATCCTTGCAAAAATATGCCTTTGCGGTTTGTGATGATTAGAAAATATTCATTACTAGTGTGAGCAGATTTTAATCCCCCAGTTAAATATTAGCAGGAATATTTTGGAAGCTTTCATTTAGGGTGGGAAAGTATCGAACTATTGTAGACCCCTGGCCTATTTGTACTTTTTGTAATTCTCTGTATATAAATGCTTTTATTCTACCACTACCTGTAGGGCTTTTGGTTTTTTTCCCCAAATTAGTGTAGTTTGGACTTATATAGATATAGTATATAGGACACTTAGTTACTAAAAATTAAGTTTAAATCAATTGTACATGAACTCTTGACAAAATTATATTTTAAAACTAGTATATTTATTTTCTCTGCTATAATGTAGTAATAGTACAAAAACTAAAACACTTGTTCCATAATTGATGGTTTTGTACATAACATTTTTTGTACTAATTTTGTAATTATCCTCAAAACCTATATTTTATTCAACATTTATTGTTTTATTCATTGACTTGTTTTTAAATAAGCATAAACATTTACAGTGAGTTTGGATATATTGAATAATATTAAGCTGGGTAATTTTTTATCCAAAGTAGGGTATATGGATTTTAAGTTTTAGTTTTTAAATGTGATTTTTATAAACTGATTGTAAAAGCAATTCTAAAGGTTTGTGCATTTGGGGAATAAATGTATAGAGCTTTCCAAAGTGACTATTTTGAAAGCTAGGTTTGGTAGTGCACACCTTAGTCCCAGGTACTTGAGAGACTTGAGGCAGCAGAATCCCTTGATTCCAGGAGTTCAAGGCCAGTCTGGGCAACATAGCAAGGCCCTGTCTTTAAAAAATATGTGTATGTGTGTATACATTAATAAAATAAAACAGAATGAGAACTTTGAAAGGACAGTGATTTAAATTTATTTATTAAATATTTATTTAACAGTCTGCCTTTTATTGGCTTGGAAAGATTGACAGTCTAAATAAAGTAGAGTCACTGCTGTTTAGGGATTTTATATACCTTAAGCTTTAGTTTATTAATACAGTTTTAGTATCTTATAGTATGACTTTTTATATGACAAAGAAACTATGATTTACTTTTAATAAATGCATTGTAAGTATCCCCTTAACTTTTTAATTTTGAAAATTACATTTCCTATTTGAGTAAAACCATATAAATTTCCTTTTCTAGGAAAGAATATCCACCTCATGTCCAAAAAGTTGAAATTAATCCTGTAAGGTTAAGTCGGCCCCAAGGTGTTGGTAAGTGTGCAGTTTCATTTGTTACACCTGTGAAGGGATTTGAATTTCTGTATGAAAAGTACAAATAGAAATATGACACTGACTTTAGAATATTCCCAGATAAACTGGGTTCAGTGATGTATACCTGTAAGCCCACTTACTCAGGAGGATGAGGCAGGAGGGTTAGGAGACCCTGACTCAAAATAAAATAATAAAAAGGACTAGGGATGTAGCTCAGTGGTAGAGAACTTGGCTAGCATGCATGGGATCCTGAGTATAATCCCCAATACAAAAAAAAAGAAAGAAAGAAAGAAAAAAAAAACAGATTTAGATAGAAATATATAGAAAATAATTTTTATAACTGATTTGAGCATTTCTCCTAACTTTTGACTGCTATATGGTTACAGAGTCAGGTGATTATAGTGTGAAATCTTTTGGTTATGTATTAGCATTTTTTGTTAACATTCAAATGTTAACTATAGATGAACTATAGCTAATAGTGTTTACCTTCTTCAACACTCATTCTGTTAGGCCTTTAATCTTTATTAAACTCTTACTCTGTAGTATATGCTAAGTTACATGCTTTTATATCCATTATTATATATTATCCCTATTCAAAAATCCCTGTATACTTGTATTTTGTACAGAGAATAAAACTGAGGCATGGAAGAATTACATGGCTTGCTTAAGCACAGGGCTAGCAAATGGAGAGCTGATACTTGATGCCAAATCCCATGCTCTTAGCCACTATACTATTTTCTTGCTCAGTCACAAAATTAGTTCTACTCCTCAGTGAAAAACTAACTGTACAATGAGTATTTTCATTTCTACTTGACAAATGCTTTTTTGTTTTTTTGTTCTGGGATTGAACCCAGGGGCACTTCCCCATATCCCCAGCTGTTTATTTATTTATTTTTTTAATATTTATTTTTTAGTTGTAGTTGGACACAATACCTTTATTTGATTTATTTTTATGTGGTGCTGAAGATGGAACCCAGGGCCTCGCATGTGCTAGGCGAGCGCTCTATGGCTGAGCCAGAATCCCAGCGCCACCCCCCCCCCCCCCCCCCCCCCCCCCCCCCCCCCCCCCCACCATTTTTAAATTTTATTTATAGATAGGGTCTCCCTGAGTTGCTTATAGACTCACTAAGTTGCTGAGGCTGGCTGTGAACTTGTGATTCTCCTGCCTCAGCCTCCCAAGCTGCTGTGATTATAGGTATATACCACTGCGCCCGGCTTGATAAATACTTTTGAGAGAGGTTAAGTGATTTGGATCATTAATATGATTTAGATGCAAAACAGTCAGTCTTGTTATAATAATTATTAGTTTATTCAATAAGATTTGTTAAGTAAATAGAATTCTGTTTTTATTGTTGTTGTTAACTCTATTTTGGAAAGTTGCAAAACTAGTACAGAGAGGTACCTGTTTATCCTTCAATGAGCTTTCCTTAATATTAACATCTTTCTAATAATAGTAAATTTATCAAAACTGAGAAGTTGCTTAGTTCTTAACTAAGCTATTGACCTTGTTCATATTTTTTTTTCTAATGTCCTTTTTATTTAAAAATTTTTTTAATGGTACCACTTAATGATTATATATGTGTGTGGCATAATTCGATCAATTTCACTGCCTAGTACTTCCCCTATTGCACTGCTTGTCCTTCCCTGGACCCTCTACTCCTAATGGTCTCCCTTTTATTTTTATGATATCTTTTCCCTGCTCCCCCCTCCTTTTTTTTCTGTATAGCTATCACATATAAGAGAAAACTTAGCACTTGTCTTTCTGGATCTCACTTATTTTGCTTAACATAATACTGTTTGTTTTCCTGATAATGACATTATTTTCTGTATGTCTGAATAAAACCATTGGGTGTATATGTATCCACCACCACCCCCCCCATTTTTTTTTTTTTAGTCATTCAATCTTTATCTGTTATAATTTATTCTTATTTTTTGATAATGGTACAAAAACTAGACTGTTGTGAAATGTATTATAACAATAAATGTGGGACTGCATACATCTCTAAAGTATGCTGTCTTTAATTCTTTTGGAGAGATACCAAGGCATAATGTATAATTGGAACATATGGTGTGTATCTATTTAATTATTTTTAGTTTTTTTTTTTTTTTTGTACTCTGGGTTGAACCCATTGGGGCTTTATCACTGAGCCACATCCCAAACCCTTTCTTTCTTTTCTTCTTTTTTTTTTTTAATATGAGACAGGGTCTTGCTAAGTTTCTGAGGCTGACCTTGAACTTTTGATGCTCATGCCCTAGTCTCTGGAGTCACTGGGATGCCTGGTTGTTGTAGTTAATTTTTAGTTCTTTGTTGTTTTGTTTTAAGGAACCTGCCTGTACAAGGGTTTTGTTTTATTTGCATCTTTGCCAGCATTTATTGTTATTTGAATTCTTGATGATTATCATTCTGACTAGAGTGAGATGAAATCTCAGTATAGTTTTTTTTAAAATTTTTTTTTTAGTTGTAGTTGGATGTAATACCTTAATTTTATTTATTTATTTTTATGTAGTGCTGAGGATCAAACACGTTGCCTCACATGTGCTAAGTGAGCGCTGTACCACTGAGCCACAACCCCAGCCCTCTCAGTGTAGTTTTGATTTGCATTTCCCTGATGCCTAGAGATGTTGAGCATTTTTTTCATATAATTGTTGACATTGTACTTTCTTTGGGAAGTGTCTTTCTAGTTGTACTTATTCATTTCTTGAGTTATTTGGGGTTTTGGTATTAAATTTTTTTATATATTCTAGTTTTCATATATTCTAGATACATCCTTTATTAGAAGAAGAGCTGGCAAAGGTTTTCTCCCATTTTGTAGGTTCTCTCCTTATGTTGTTTCTTTGCTGTTTCGAAATTTCTTATCTGGCTGCCATTCGTTTCTTGGTGGTGTTATTAATTTTGGTATTGGGGATTGAACTTGGGGTGCTTAACCACTGAACCATATCCCCAGCCCTTTTTTAGTTTTGATTTTGTGACAGGGTCTCATTAAATTGCCTAGGGCCTCACTAAATTGCTGGGGTTGGCTTTGAACTCATGATCCTCCTGTCTCAGCCTCCTGAATTGCTGGGATTATAGGATGTGTGCCACCGTGACCTGCTGATTCTTGGTATTATTTCTGAATTTTAGTAATCCTTTTGAGGATCTCCCTGCCTGTACCTATGTTTTGGATAATTTCCCCTATGTTCTTGTCACAGTTAAATTTGTCAACTTGTTGGATTAAGAGATCCTGCGGATTAAGAGGATTGTGGGTGTGATAGTGTATGTAGGAATGATTGGCATGTGGGATAGCTAACTGAAAAGGAGACCCTCCCGAAGCGTGGACAGGACCAACCAATAGGATGATGGCTTGGATGAAATAAAAGTTGTAAGAACAAAAAAGCAGCAGCAGATGCAAGATTGATTCTTCTTGAAGGGGTTCTTTATTGCTGCTGTGTTCAAGTTCTTGATTGGTGCTGCAATCATGTTAAGATAACGGATTCTCACTTTTTCACTTTTCCAAAGCAGGCTCTGACAGTGATTCTCCAGAAGACTTAGGTCTCAGACTAGGGTAGCATAGTTGATATGTCTTGTTCTGTGGCTTCAGCCTATTGGACTGAGCAGCTGCTGGTTGTCCCAGCTCTCCAGCCTACAGATGGCCATTGTGAACTATCCAGCTTCTGTTCGTGGAAGCCAACCTAATAAGTCCCCATTTTATTATTATACTACTTGTTGATTCTGTTCCTCTAGAGAACCCTGACTAATACAGTTCTCTTCTACCACTTGGAAAGATTCTGGTCTTATTCCTATATCTTTGATCCATTTTGAGTTGAATTGTTATATAGGGTAAGAAAGAGGGGCCTAGTTTCAATCCTTTTTTTAAATAGTATTTGTATTCTCATTGATTCTAAGAATTATTTGAAATTTCACCTCTGATTTCTTTTTTTTTAATATGTATTTTTTAGTTGTAGGTGGACACAATATCTTTATTTCATTTTTATGTGGTGTTGAGGATTGAACCCAGTGCCTCACATGTGCTAGGCAAGTGCTCTACCTCTGAGCCACAACTCCAGCCCCTTTACTTCTGATTTCTTAGATGAAGCACTCATCATTCAAAAGTGTAATTCAGTATCACCATCTATCCTAGCTGGCAACCTAATGCTGGGATCACAAAATCTTACTATTCTAACAACTTAAGAAAACGACAAAGAAAGCACGCAACCACACAGAAGTACCTTTTCAAAATCCGTGATGGCTCTCCGACCTTAAGGGTTCGTGGAAAGAGAGAGAGCCCCTGGAATTCTTTATTCTTATACAGGAGACACACAAGGGGAGGTTCCATGGAACATTCTATCCCCAAAAGGGCAAAGGGGTAGGATTACAAAGGAACAGGTGAGAGTAACTCAACCACACGGGGTTACTTCTACTCCTGGAACCACATTTCATTATCTGAGTGGAGGTAAAGCCCAAGTTATTGCGGGGCACAGTAATTGTTCACAATCCCGGTGCATGAGGACTTAAAGCTGCCTGCATCCAGGGCAGCTCCCAACAGTTCAATCTCTGTGTGTTTGTGTAGTTTCTTTGGTTTTCTTGTTGTTGATTTCTAATTTAATTCCATTATGATGGTGAGATGCAAGGAATTTAAAAAATATTAATTTTTTTTTGCATTTGCTAAGACTTGATTTGTGGCCTAAAATATGATCTGTTTTGGAGAAACTATTTAGAGCAGCTGAGCAGAAAGTATATTCAGCTCTTGAATGAAATATTCTGTAGATGTCTGTTAAGTCCATTTGATTTATAGTATTTTTTATCTATAGTATCTTTGTCACTTTTGTCTGGGTGGCCTGTTAGAGAAATATATTGACATCATTCAGTATGATTGTTTGTACCTTTGTGAGCCTAAAGGTATAGGCCTAAAGCCATAAATGTCAAGTAGTATTTCTTTTATGTAATTAGGATTTTGGGTTGAAGTCTGCTTTTTGAGTTTCATTTGCACGGAATATGACTTTTCCAACCTTTCACTTAGTCT